GTGGTGAAGGGAAGCAACACGGTAAACTAGGAACGCAAACCGTGTAGACGAGCTTCCCACAGACGGTGGGGACGCTGCATGGTGTGAATCTGACCTGCTCAAAACACGAGCTTCCGATACTCGTGACCCTGAATGTGCTCTGACCGGCAGTAAACATTCTATAGGCTTTGTTGCAATACAGTAAACGTCCTAAGAACAGTTCGTCCCAGTAGTGCGGGCTCATGCCATGAGCTAAGGCAAACACATCAGTATGGACGCTTTGTGTGGAAATGCCACCAAGAGATCCACACAGTGTAGAAATCTTCAAATAAGACAAACACGAACACGTTTACCCCGCAACCTATCTGCCTGCCATACATCTGCCGGAGGGATCATCGCGTCTTGAACATCTCACTTTCCGGATGCAACAGCCCAAGCCCACAATAAAAGTATATGGAACACAAATGATGACAGTTGGGGCTTAAGAGATGAAGGGGTGTGTGTTTGGGTTAGTGAAAATATGTTAACTGACTTCAAATCATATGCTCAAATATGTTCTATGATTCCAAAAAGCGTATCAGGCCTTAAGGACGACCAAAAAAAAAAAGGTTGTGGATGGTAAATTCATGAGCCAAGTTGTTTCTCTCACCGGATGTAAGAAATCAATTCTCTTCATCACGAAGGTCCATCAGAGGTGCCCTTGCTGGTGACACCTCTCATTGGTCTCTGTCGCTTTCCAGATCCAACCTGGCATGTAGTACTTTCCCCCCTGTGGTTCCTCATAAGGAATGTCCAAAGACACAGGATTCATTTGTCTGTAGAAAATCCTCTTGACTGGGAAATTGCCTTGGTGACACCCAAACCTATAGCTGGTTGTTTGCACAAGACAAGATGTTGATGAATCGGTTGAAAATTATTTATGTTTCCTTAGCAACCTCAGAAGGAAGCAGGAGTTTCCTAGTTCTCCCGGTGGGGGGAAAAAAAAAGGGATTTCCCTATTCATGGAAATCACTGGGAGGGTAGGTGCTGCCCTCTCTCACCCCTTCTTCTTGTGGACTCAACATACCTGGTCTCACTTGACTGACTAATGTGCCACGGGGGCAGGAGGAAGCCCCAGGACCTTGAACAATCCCTCAGAAAATGGTCTTCCTACTCTGGGTGTTTGGCAATTGTTCTTTCCCCTAGGGCCACTGGGTGGGGACAATTGTGGGCCGCATGACCAGATCTCGCTTCTGAACTTTTCTTGTGATGCTGATGTATGTGCTTGTTAGGGATGATCGCTGTATCACAGCCCGGGAGTCACACTTTCCCTGTGAGTGTCCACCACCTAATGCTGCAGATTGGTAACAAAGAAACAATATGTTTCTTTCGATATATAAGATATATATAACTTGAAGATGCATTTGGAGGTTTTCTCAGCAGAGTGGGGTTTTCAGGCGATTACCTTTAAGTTATATTGCCAAAACATTAATCAAATGTTTCTATAATTTAGGGTTAGAATCCTAAGGGTCCGAGCTTTGGTACCACTTAGGCAATCAGAGGGGATGGAGGCCCTCACGTGCTCTTCAGTTCACTCTCCCACACTGGTGTGCTTGGCCACCATGTGGTGGGGGGGGGTCTCTCTACAACTCAGTTTCCCCCTTGACCTTTTCCAAACTTCACAGCTTGTACCTTCAACCACCAAACCGTACAGGTCTCTCTAGCTTAACCTGGCACTGTGATAAGCTAATTGGGTGACACATTACTGTGTGTATATATGTCATTCTAACTGACCCCACACACTAGGGGATCAGTTAGAAACTTTCTCCACGAGACCAAAATGTCCCTTCCTCAAGAGGATAGCAAGTCTTGCTCAAAGCCTGCCTGCCACACACCAGCGGGTTCATAACTAATCCTAAACACCAGCAAACATGCTCAGGAAAAAGGTTTTCTCCTGCCTGTACCGAGGACGCCCTCTCCCTTTTGGGTCTTTGCTGCCTTCCATCTCACAGCCTCGGGAACCCTCCTGAAAAGTCTCAGTGGACCTCACAGAGCCCCAGTCTCTCTGGTTTACAGATGAGGAGCCAGAGGCCGGCAGAAAGCCAAGAGACCAGCAGAGTCAAGGCGCTTGCCTGAGCCACATTCTAGACCCTTTCTCTGTTCGCAAGACATTTGGTGGGTGAAGAATGCTATGATGTTACCTTACCTGTTCACTTGGACTGTGGAAAGACGCTTCTGCTTTGTTTTGTTCGCAGACTTTGTGGATGGCTGTGGAATGAAGTCCAGGGGATGGAGACAGGGGGGTAGCTGCTGGGGGGAGGCGGCTGTTCCACCCAGGAGCCTGCAGCAGAGCTCTGGAGGCCAAGGGGAGACAGGGCGCCCTCACGGTCAACAGCATCTGGCAGCACCCACCTGTAGACTAGCATTACCGTGCCCAAACTTGTGCGCCCTGGTCCCTACGGGGCACCACATGTGTGCCAGCACCCAGCTGTGGTCCTGCCTGGCTCCAGGCTTTGACTCTGCTCTCTGATGGGTCATTGTGGGCAGCTGTGGAGCCTCTGGCCTGGCTTCTGGGGCTCCCAAGTTACCCTGGAGCCCCCGTGCGACCTGGGACTCCCTGACTGAACCCAGCAGCGGGCCCTGGGACCCTCTGAAGGCAGGGGGAGCGCCTGGTCAGAGGTGCTACACAGAAGGAGCACCAGGTCTCCACAGTAGAGGCCTTTGAGTAGGTGGCCCGGCTGGGCGGGTTCATCCAGGGTTCTTGCTCTGAGGCCTGGAGGAGCCCTGACTTCTCTAGGCTTCCAGGGAAATGTGAATCCAGAGGACGTTATCAACTCTGGAGAAAGGGGCAAAGCTGCAGGCTCACTTCAGAACCAGGGAGCCCGGAGCAGCCTTTTGCTTTTATGACACCACCTTTGTGTGGGAATAGAAAACATGTGTAGACCACTGGCAAAAATAAAATCCTTTCCTTTATTTGGCCCCCTCTTTGAGCTCCTCCCTCTTTGGTCTTGTCCCTTTTCCTAACCACCACCCCCCCACACACACACACAGACACCAATCCCTTGCTGCAGTGGGCGTGGCTGTCTGTGGGTTCCAGGGAAGCTTGTCCAAGCATGGAGCAACCTCAGACACATAGGATGTCCTCGGCATCCTTTGCATATTTATAAAGAAGGTGAGCACATTTCCACTTTGTATTCTATATCAGGGACCCTTGTGAACTTATTATCCAGGGAGGGATGAAAAAGAGAGAGAGAGATCGAGAATCTGATTTCCTTTCTGTTGACCCCTCTTAGTACATAGCTTTGAAATAGACAAACCTTGTCTCTTTCTTGGACACCATTTAATCAACTTTAATGGGTTCAATTTTCTATACAATTTCACCGAACATCTCACACAAATGAAATTCTACTTTCTATTTTAGAAAAGACATATTTGGTCCACAGAAATATATTCCCGAGGGGGATGAAAGAGCACATTGGTGAACAACCAAATTTTCTTTGCCCTCATGAAGGTGGATCTTAGAATTTATGCTTTATGATTATGGACAAGAAAATCAGTGGGCCAAACACAGATGACAAGCTACCATTACTGCAGACAGGCCTCACTTGTCGTGTGCGGCCAACCATTGGGCCTTCCAGGAAACTTTCTGTTGGCATAGAACATACACTGAACATCCCTCAGTATGAGGGATCGTTTAATGTACGGTGTGATTCAGAGAGGACATTTAAAAACTCTCCTGTGAGTGTTGCTCAGACAGGACAGCCAACAACCTGCAAATTTGAGTTTTATTTTGTTTCATTCAAAGTTCCCAGGATGTTATAAATACTGTTTTGTCCCTCTGCTTTCAAATTGTGCAGGCACTGAGATTTTGTCCTCCAGTGTTTCTCCCAACTGCTAATATACACAGTCAGTCAGCAGCAGTAAAGGGCAATGTGCAATCTGTCCCTGAACCAACTCACCTGTGGTGGCTTCTCCATTATCATTCTGAGTCTGTTGCCAGGCCCTCAAAGAGAGGAGTATTCAGTGTTCCTGACAGCTGAGCCTTTTATGAAACCCTCTCCCCGCACCACACTTTAGGCTCAGAATCTGAGAAATGATCTCTCCCAATTCTTCCTTCCAAGTTTCTCATGGACTGCCCTTCCGGCCCTCATCCTGTCTACACCCTTCAAACAGGCTACCCTTTCCTGGGCAGATTTCTGAAATCGTTTTGGTGGACAAGCCTTCGATTTCCGAGGGCCTCAGGAAAAAAGTAGCAAAACACACCACAAAAGAAAATGCACACTTGTGATGTTGAGCACAGCTCCGTAATGGAGTGTTTCAAAGAGAGGAAAACAACTTGAAATATTAACTGGTGAGCGTCAGAATTGTTCTTCAAAGAGCTGACACATAACGGAAAACATTGTAATGACCTGTTATTAAATTTAATACCCCCAAACAGATGGTGTTCCATTTTTTCCCCCAAAAGCAGATTGCTCACCTGATTGAAAAATTGATTTTGAGCCCTTACCCCAAACCCAGTTGTTTAACTTCTGTTGTATCCACATGTGATCTGGCTTGTTTTCCTTACTTTGGAAATCTGACCATGACATCATTTCTCCTTTTTTTCTAGTTGGTACTTAAGAGCCCAAAACTACCCACCTTATTTATGTGAGGAATTACTGTTACACTGAGTCCCAAATTGTCAGGACATGAAGGATCTGCTAAGTTAAAGTGGTATCTCTACATCCCTTGGTCAAAAGGATAGATTCTTGTGGGCACTTACATAGATTTCCCTGAAAAAGTCTCCACAGCTTTCATTCTAACCCCACCTTCCAGTGCATTTCTGAGGGTCCCTGACTTGCCCTCTGCTCCTGTTGACTTTTTTTGAGGTGACACCCTTGAAGGGTCAGAAGGGCAGACCCCAGAGGTTCAGGCTCGGCTCGAAAACCCATGATCCTAGTGAGGGTGGTGGGATTTTTTTTTCTTTAATAAAAACCAGACATTTAAGAAATCATTTTAAATCCTTATGGAAGCCGCATGATGCAGAAATAAATCCATCTTACTTTGACTTTGAAAATATTTTTATTTGAATAGTAAATAGTTATACAGTTGAAACAGTTCTATTGAAGCTTTCTATAAATAGCTAACAATTAAGAAAATAATGTATGTAGAAAAGAGATTGCATTTAAAAGTAAGAGCTGTCAGTTGTACGAGGGCTCCAGGGGCCCTCCAAGCAGAATAAAATGGTAGGTTGTCTGTAATTCATTCAGGTATAAAAGTTAAAACTTTTAACAGATCCCTTTAGAAAAAGGCTCTCTTCTAAAATGCACAGTGAAATGTCAAGAGTGGCAAGGGGTGGGGAAGGAAGTGTACCAAAAAAAAAAAAAAGATCTGCAATCAAATAATATCATAATCTTCATAATTAATATAAATAAATAAAGAATAAATAACAATTACTCATAAATCAACATATACATTTAAAGAAAACTCATATAGTCCTACCTCAACGAAGATGATAAAACCAAAGAGTCTTACGTGAAGTATTGAGGCAGTTTCTACAGCATTTTCTGAAAATTCCCTTCCCTCCCCCCAAAAACAATCCCAAACAGACAACAGTTCAAGGCATTTGTGGCTATACTAAAGAAAACTCTTTTTTAAGCAATTTGATTTGTTCACATACAAAAAGGTAAAGCCAGACTCCAGCAGTTCACAAGCCATAATAAAGCTAATCATGTGGGAAGTTCAATTTACAGCCTGTGAAATATAAAGGCATTTATTCCTCAAGATTCACCCAAAACAACCCGTACGCTACATACACGGAGAGCAGAGATTGGTAGGCGAGAGCAAACCGCATTTCTAGACCATGAACACAGCGAATACTAGCAAGAAAAACAGCTCTCCGCTCCAAGGGGGAAGCTTCCAACCACGAGACAAACGCGTACAGCTTTTCTCTCTTGTACAGAAAGAGATTGGCTCCTGTTGCGCCAAGAAGGGAAAGGGGACACAACGCAAGAGGGGGTGGGGGGGGTCCAAAAGGAGTCACAACGAGAGGATCGGGGTTACCGTCACGCCACACCGAGAGAAGCGGAGACAACACTTTCACCGGGGGCGGGCGCCCCCGGCGCGGACGCGGGTTCAGGGCGCGCAGGGCGCGCTCTCCTCGTGGGTCTCCAAGTGAAGGCACAGTTCGGGGCGGGGTGGGGGGTGGAGGGCGCGCTCTAGCAGGCCGGACGCACGGGCACCTGCAGGAGGATCACCTGTCTGTTCTCGGACGGGTGGCACTTGTTGATGTGCCGCGTGAGACCAGGCGAGCTGTAGAAGGTGGCTGGGCAGTACTTGCAGGGGAACACCTGGGCGGCGTGCAGCAGGCGCAGGTGGCGCTCCTGGGCGCCCTTGCTGGGGAACGTCTCCCCGCACACCGGGCACAGGTGGCACTCGGCGGACGCGCTCAGGCCCAGCACGCCGGCCGCCTCGCCGTCGCCGGCCGCCTCCGGGGGCGCCTTCTCGTCGGGCCCAGGGTACAAGGCCAGTAGGTCCTCAGGCGGAGGCGCGGACGGCGCGCCCTTGGCCTGCAGCGCCTGGTGGTGCGCCAGCAGGTGCTTGCGCAGATAGGCCTGGCGGCGGAACTTCTTGGCGCAGTGGTGGCACTCGTAGAGCCCGTCCTCGGAGCCCGACTCGGACACGCCGCCGGGGCTCGGCGTGTCGCGGTCGCTGCCGCCGCCTGTCGCCTCCCGCGCCTCAGCCCTGGCAGCGGTTTCAGGCTCGGACGCGCGGGCGGCGGCGGGCGCAGGCCGCGGTTTGTGCCAGCGGCGGTGCGAGGCCAGGTTGGCGGGGCAGCTGAAGACCTTGGCGCACTCGGGGCAGCGGTACTCCACGCGCACAATGCGCGAGCACTTGTGCTGCGCCAGCGCGAACGGGTCGGCGTACTCCTCCTTGCAGAGCTGGCAGATGAACTCGCCCAGCGGCCGCGCCGTGCCCCCCGCCCGGCCCCGCGGCGCCTCCACCGGGCCCTCCTTGATCTTGAGCCCCAGCACAGGCGACGTGGTCACCTCGTCCTCGAAGTGCAGCTTGCGGATGGCTTTGGGCTTCTTGGCGCCCGGGGCCTTGGCTACCTTGGCTGGCGGCTCGGCGGCGGCGGCGGCGGCGGGGGGCGCGGGCCGCTTGCCCGGGGGCCGCAGGGAGGCGGCGGGGGGCAGCGGGGGGCCGGGCCCTGGGCCGCGGGCCGCCTCGGCGCCCGCGGAGAACGCCGTGCCCATCTTGAGCTCCGCGGGCGCGAAGAGCATTGGGTCGCCGCCGCAGGTGCCGCCGCCGCCGGTGCCGTTCGCGCCGCCGCCGCCGCCGCCGCCGCCTCCGAGCAGAGCGGCGGGCGTGGGGAAGGACTCGGCCGAGACCGGCGACCCGAGGTTGAAGCTGCGCTCGAAGTACTTGTGCTTCTCGTGCTCGCGGCTCACGGGCCGCGTGGGGCTGTAAAGCGGCGCCGGGTGCGCGGCCTCGGGGTTGCCGAAGTGCGCGGCCCGCGGGCCCGGTGGGGGCGGCGGCGGTCCGGGCGCGCAGGCGAGCGCGGCAGCGAGCGCCGCATGGGCGCGCTCGGCGGGCGGCGGCAGCGGTCCCGGCCCGGAGCTCGGCGCCGGGGGCGAGGCGCGGGCGCCCCCGCAGCCAGGCGAGAGCAGCAGCGCGCGGTCGCCGTCCTCGCCGCCGCGGACCCGGTAGGACACGGGCGTGGACTTCTTGCTGCGCTTCACCAGGAAGCCGCGGGGCATGTTGGCGCGGCGCGAGGGCAAGGCACTGGCTCGGTCCCACCTCCGCGCTCGGCCCTGGCGGCCCTCAGTGCCCCCGGCCCATGGCCCGGGCGCGGCGGCTGCGGGACTCGCGTGGCGCCGGCGGCGGCTCGGCCCGGCTCTGCGCCCTGCACGCGCGTCCCTGTCCCCGGGCCCGGGAGCCGCTCCCTTTTAACTGGGGGAGGGGGCCATTGTTCTCGCCTCCCGCTTCCCCCGGAGCCAATCAGCGCGCCCGCAGCTCCTCCGCCTGGTTGGGTGGGAGGGCGACGGGGCGGCAAAAAGGGGGCCGGGACTCGGGGGTCGACCGGTAGGTGCGGCAGATGTACCTGAGGGCGCGGGGCCCCCGCGCGCGCCCCGCTGCCGCCCCGCCCGGCGCCGCCGCCCCGCCCGGCCCAGGCACACGCCCGGCCCCGCCTCCCTTCACGGTCTGCTGCTCCTCTATGGGGAGGCGCACGTGCCTGGGCTTTGTGTCTCTCCTCCGGGGGGCGCGGAGCCGCCAAATGGGCCCGTCCATCAGCACGACAATGCACGCCCCCCTCCCGCGCGGGGATTACCCGCGGGTCGCGAGCAAAATAGCAACAAAGGAGAAGAATGGTCCCAAATATGTCAGGAGGGTTCAATCCGCGAGCCGGAGCGGAGGGGGAAGTTGTGCGCGCTGATTGGGTAGGGGCGGCGGTGGGCAGCAGCAGGCGCGGGGGAGATCTGAGTGCGGCTGCTGGGGCGGGAGAGGGGTCGGGGGAGGCGCAGGGACTCCGCCTGGTGTTTGGGAAATAATCAAAAATCGAAAATAGCGGCAAAGCCCGAGCGGCCGAGAGCCTCGGCCGGGTGGGCCACGGGACCCAGGACCCAAGCGAAAATGGGACCCTGGGGTTCCAAACTTGGGTAGAGGATCTGGCCTTCTGGCTGCAGCCGGGGGCGATGTTTGTTTTCGCTGCCTTCGTGCGCCCGCGTGCGTCTGGAAGATTTTATCTCGAGTTTTAAGAAACAGTTGGCACCGCACTTCTTTAATCGCTAGCAGACGCAGCCCAGGGGCGGGGCGCGGGGGGGGGCAAGTTAGGCTGGGTTCCAAAAGGAACGTGAATTTCTGAACTTTCTTTTTTCTTTTCTTTCTTTCTTTCTTTCTTTCTCTTTCTTTCTTTCTTTCTTCCTTCCTTCCTTCCTTCCTTCCTTCCCTTCTTTCTTTCTTTCTTTCTTCCTTCCTTCCTTCCTTCCTTCCTTCTTTCTTTTCTTTTTTCTTTTCTTTTCTTTTCTTTTCTTTTCTTTTCTTTTTTCTTTTCTTTTCTTTTCTTTTCTTTTCTTTTCTTTTCTTTTCTTTTCTTTTCTCTTTTCTTTTCTTTTCTTTTCTTTCTTTCAGTTCTCCGAGGCTCAAGGATTGGCATCCTTAGAGGAGCCCGGCCCAGGCCACTCAGTCTCCGCGAGGCGCGGGGCTGGGCTGATTCGGAAGGAGTTGGCCAAAGACCGAAACGCGCGGTCGGCCGCGTGCGCCTGGCTGAAGTTGGTTTCCGCTCTCCTTGCGCCGCCTCATGCATTTTCATTCGGAGCGGGCATTTTGTCTGCCGGCTGACATCAGATGCTAAATCAAGGGCTCCAATCAAGGCGCAGCGGAATAAAGGGGCCGCCTGTCTGGGCGCGGGGGCCCCCCCGGAGCCGTGCCCCCTTCACCTTTGTGAAGGAAATTAACCTCCCGCTATTGAGCGCCGGTCGCGGCCAATCTGGACGCAAAAGAGACGCGTGCTGCCGGCCGGGGGGAGGTGGGGGCAATCTGTCCTCAGAGGCAGGCTGTGGCCTCGGAGAGGACAAGCTGCCTCCCCCTTTGCCACCAGGAAAAGACAACAGCGAAGATCCACACACTCACAACCCCGTACCCACCACCCCGGCAGACCCGTTTGGATCCAGATCGGGCCCTTTGCCTTCATCCTCTTCCCAGCCCAACCCCAAGGAAACACAAAAGGCAGAATCTCCGGGGGACCGGGGCAGAACCCCAAGAGTGCAGAGTGGACCTGATCACCCATCACTAGGGAACAAATCAAAGCTGCAGAAAATGTCATTATGTTGTGAGGAAAATGTCACTCACTTTATTGAGCGAGAAGGAAACGGACATTTTTTTCTGGAAAGCTCTGTGCTCCTATATAGATCATGCTGAGTTTTGCTTATGCTTAATACCACTAAAGGTATTTAATTGTTTTCTGGATTTTCCCTCTGAAAATACCCTGGCGGGGAAATTAAGCAGACTTTTTTTTTTAGAACGCACATGAGCAATAAGTTGTAATGGGGACAATTGTTAGGCTTAGTTAATCAAAGGGTTAATCAAGTTGGTTAATCAAAAGGAAAGATGTTTGATGATTTTATGTCTGTGATTTCTTTTTAACTCAGACTAAAAGGAGAATACATATAATGGAATATATTTTGAAAACTCTCACCCTCGTTTTAAAAATGCTAACTGTGGTGAATGCTAGTCCTCAAAAAAGTTAGAAATTCTAAAATGAATTTATCTAATATTCATAAATATATTTCAATCTAAAAGTAACTGATGTTATTTCCTTTGCTCTTTTGAACGCTGATTAATACTGCTGATGAAATTAGAAGTAGGAGAGGGATTCCGGGACAGCTTTGGCCAATTTTATTTTCTAATCACGAATCCCATCTGGATTGTGGAATAATAGGGCGGGGGCGAGGCCCGCCGTCCTCAACTGACTGCGGGGTATTTGGTCTTGCATGTGTAACACTGCTTTCATTCAACAGATAACAGCGAGTTAGTCACCTTGTGAATCCTTTAAAAATAACAACACCCATAATTGTAAAGGGGGGGCAAAAAAAAAACAACAAAAAAAAGCAAAATCCTTCCTGAATGCAGCGAATTCAAACGGGTTCTGTATTAAGCCCAGAGAATCTATTGAACACTATGGAGATCAGTGGATCTTTTGCTTAGTTTGTGATTTTTAGTCTTGTCAGGGAAAGTGAAATCTGTTTTCAGAGGAGTACGGTCAAAATAAATAGAACCTTGAAAGGTGCTAGTATTAGAAACTAATTCCATGTCTCAGGACTGGGGAAGAATTAGACTGAGGGCGCACGCACACACCAGCAATCTCCAAGTAGGTACAGCCTTGCACTTGCTCGTAAGTTTCCGTTGTCTTCTGAGTGATCTCATTTCTCAAAATTTGCGCGCCTGCAGTCCCCCATTCCTATGGGGACTTCGGGTTGAAACATTTGTCTTCTTCTGGGAAGGGCAAAGCGCCATCACGCTGTGCCCCGGAGGCCGGCCTTTACGCACTGAGATTCCGAGTGGGCTCAGCGTGGAGTTGGGTCGGGGAAACACTGAGCATGCTTTGCCTCCCTCCAGAGGAGCTTCACCGGAGTCGGCGAGCATAGGGATCCAAGGCAGGTCCCCGAAGTGTCCTTCCCAGGCCTCGGGCGACTCCTCCCCTTCCTGTGGCAGCGCTTTGGAAACATTCGGCAGTCTCACTGCTTCTGGTCCTTGCAGACCCCGCTGCCGGTTCTTCCTTCGACAGCCGCAGGCGCTCAAAAAAAAAAATTTTTTTTTTTTTTGGTACTGGTGTCTCAGGTAGCCGTCGGGGAGCGCGCCGGGGTTCACTGTGAATCCCAGCTCAAGAGTCTAGCCCCGGGGAGTTTCTTGAAAGCGCGAAGCTTGGGTATAGGCGCCAAAGCGGGGGATTTCGGCCTAGGAATTGCCTGGTGGGGTGTCGTGTTGTCCAGGCGGCCACTGAGCTCCCGAGAGGCGGAGACTGGTGGGTCCGCAATCCTACCGCATTGCGCGTTTAGAGACACTGGGAGGGGCGAGAGGGGGTTGACAGCGCTCCCCCGCCAACACCCCTAGTCCCATTCTGCTGGGGACCCCTCTCCGGGACTCACAGAAGCCCCACCCCAGGCCCTCCCTGCCCACCAGCCTCGACCCGGCCTGAACCGCGCGTTACCGCCGCCGAACCCGCCGTCAGGTCCCGGAGGGGCCCGCGCCCCAGTGCGCCGGGCGAGCGCGGGGCCCGAGCCGCGGAGAGGCTTTGTGTTTGTAGGAATGAGGGGTTGTTGTGTCAGTCCCAGGGGCACGCGAGAGACACGCGCAGCCCGCCCGCCCGCCGCCCCGCCCGGCCCGGTCCGGCCTCCAGGCACCTTCCGGGCCCCCGCCCGCGGGCCGTTGCCTTTGTTCGGCACATTAGCATAAAGCTGCCATGGATCTCTCGTTTAAATAATTCCACACAAAAGAAGAGTGCATGAAAGAGAGCGAACAAGGGAGAATCCGCGAGGCTGCGCCTTCCGCAGGGCGCGGGGAGGGACCGCGCTCAAGTATTTCCCTCCCCTCGAGTTTCGAGTGCCCCCGGCAATCTGCTGCGCACCCATTATTCGGCCGGGGGCCGACGGGGTGGTTGGCCGCCTCTTTTATCCTCCCGAGTGTGCCGTCGGGGCCACCGCACGCTCCGTGAAGTGCCTTCGGGGCTGTTTGTTTTTGCCTCGGGTGGGACCCTGTGGGAGGGGAGGGGGGCCAGAGGCTCCCGGGCCCCGCGACGGGAAGGGTGGTATTGGCCAAGCCAGAAAATGTGGAAAAGCCGTAAGCAGAGAATTATGCCAGTTAGAGCTGGAACGACACTGAACGGACCGGGATGGCATTGAACGTGGGGGCGCACGAGGGAACTGCTTGCACTTGTGAAGCGGCGGCCCCACTGCCCGCGCGCCGCCGTCTCAGAAAAGGCAGCGACACCACCGCCAGCAAAAACTGACGGGAAAGGCCACGGGACTGCGATGCTCCTCCTCGTCGCCTGCCCCAGGGGGGACCAAGAGGTGGCCAGGCCCCTGCGGGCCAGAAGGGGCGCACACTTCGCCTTGGCCTCAGCGCCCCCTTTCCTGTGGCTGGTTTGGGGTTTGGGTGTAAGTGTTCATTCCCCGCGCCCGCTATCCCTCTCCTACCCCCCTCTCGCTCCCTGCGACTCCTATCTCTGGCCTCCCTCCTTTCCTCGTCCTACTCCCCTCGCCTCTTTCCCCACGCCTCCCTCCTGCCTCTCACATCCTGACTCTCGCCCCCACACCCCAAGTCCCGCTCTCTGTCTCGCCACCCTCAACTCTCTCTCCCTTAGACTCTCCTTTTTTCTCGCTGGTTCTCTCCCTGCGGCTCCCCCACTTCTCTCTCGCCC